AGCCGGCTCCGAGCGTCACCGCGGCCGGCCGAGGGGAGCGCGGGACGCGCGCCGTGCACAGCCCGGACGCGGATTAGCGCCCGCAGGAGCCTTCTGCGCCCGCTGAGGCGCTAAAGGGCTTACCCGGGAGCGGGGTGGAAGGGCGGGGAGAGGCTCCCCCTTCAACACCGCACCCGGCCACACGCGCGCGCTCACCCCGGCGCCGGCTCACTCCTTCGCCCGCCGCTGCCGGATAGTGCCGAAGAGGAGGGGGCGTTCCCCAGACCATGGCATCCACGGAAGGGTGAGGGGGCTTTACTCTGTACCCGCGGGGAAGCAGGGACCGCGTACGGGATGGTGGCCCCTCTCTCCGGGATGGGGACAGAGAGACGTCGTCGCCGGGCCTCGGAGCTGGTGGCCGCGCGATGGCTTGTCTGCGGTGGGATGGTGGGGAGGGGATTGATTTTGTTTCGTGGGGCTTGCTGTTTAACCCTTAAAGGATGCGAGAGACGTAGGGTTGTTTTAAATAAAGGGGCAGGGTGAGATGGGACTGGGATAGAGTGTGAAGAAGAAATCCTCTTGAGGTTACTTTTGAGACCGAAAAACAATAAGGGACTGGGCACAGTGGGAGCAGACGCTGCCCGTGGAAGCAGCGCCTCGAGCAAGGCGCGGCGAGCGCGACGCGGGCTGGAAGGTGGCGACCAGCCCGGAATGAATGAACCGGGACCAGGCAGGGCCGGGGCGGGGCGAGGATCAGCGCGCGCCGCCTTGAATGCCAGACTCGTGGAGTCGCCAAGGAGATGCCGGGCCCTCTCGGATCGCTCCTTGACCCTGGATGGCGGAATCTTCCTAGCCAACTCTAAGGAAGGGTGGAAGAAATTTGGGTGCTTCCCGGGAGGAGGCGGGAAAACATGTGGGTTTGGGCGGGGGCAGGAGTCTCCGGACTCTGGAAGGTGTAGCGTTGGTTTTCCTACTCTGCCCGCGGCACTGGAGCCGTCTCCTGCCTCCTGAGACTGCGGTTGGCATGGAGAAAGCTCCCCGTGATAAATGAAAGCTGTCTTTAGCAAATGGGAAGGGGGCTACAAGGGAGCAAAAGGATCCCTGGAGTACTCACACATCAAAGGAAGGGTCCACAAACAGTCCCTGGACCAGTGCCTCCCAGCAAACTTTTCCTGCTTGGTAGGGCCTGAGTGGGAATAAAAAGACTGGTTGTGGAGCTCACAAAACTGCACTAGCCACTTGCAAGAGATCACAGGATCCATGTTGCGTGGAAAGCAAATATCAGGGGCTCCTCTGGGCTCAAGTGGATAGTTTTTGGTGCTGGCACTGTCCACAGTTTCGCTTAATACATTTTACGAACTGCACAGGCTTGTTTTGGGGAGATGGGTCTCTAAGCAGGAGTGAAGAGCTGGTGTCCAAAGCCAGATCTCTAGGCTCCATCCTCCAACAAAGGGAAATATTTCTAAAACTGTCTCTCTGTGTCCAGGAGAAGGAACCCATTCCGTTTCTGTCCCCTGGAGTCTTTCCAAAGGGGTTTGGCATCTTGTTGTAGCATGATTTTTTTTTCTCTTTCTTTTCACCCTAATAGTTAAGCAGTGTGGGCCTTTTTGATCATTATTTCTCCAAAAAGATGCTCCAGAAAGACACCTTTTTCAAGGAGGGTGGTACCTTGTTCTAAAACAGATCTCCAGAGTTAAATACTAAGAGCCCATATGGCTCAACATCAGTGCCTTCCTGTGTTTAATTTAAAAGGCTTTCATATTAGAAAAAAGTTATAAAGGCATTTCTGGCTGCCTTTAGTGCCCTTCTAGACTTACCCCCGCTTGTAAAAGCTAGTTTGGAAAACATCTGTGAAAAAGATGGATGATGGTAGTCTTTCAAATCCTGCATCCAACTCACTCCCTATTTTGATGGCCAGATAGATAAGGGAGAGGTTAAGACAACAAAATCCCCAAACTAAGTGTGTTTATCTCAACTTCATCCTAAATGAGAGCTGCCAAATGATCTAACATTAAATATAGAGCAGAAGTGATTTTTGGTATTTTAAAAAGACTCACATTATTCAATTACTGCTATCTTTGTGCACTGAGCATAATGAAGAAAAGATTGACCAAAGGAACTTGTATTTAAGAAATGAAAGAATTGAAAAAATTCAAAAGGCTGGGAATATAGAAAGATCTGTGACCCATTATTATTTAAGAGCAATAACTGATGTGCAGGTGACATTCTCAGACACCCTCGTCTTTCCTTTATTCTTCTCTTCTTCCAGGAGCCTTTACTGAATACTTTCTGGGTAGAAGTCAATGCTAGGCACTCGGGGGGGGGGGGGACAGAAACATAAAC